GACCCCCCAACCATAAAATTATTTTCATTCCTATTTCATAACTGTAATTTGTTATGAATCACAATGTAAATAGCTATGTTTCCCAATGGTCTTAGGTGACCCCTCTGAAAAGGTTGTTTGACCTCCAGAGGGTCATAACCCACAGGTTAAGAACTGCTAGTATAGATGAGCACCCAGGGAGCAGAGGTCAACCCAACAGAGGTGATGTTAACAGCACACTGGAGTATAGCCTGACCTCCTATGTGACTTTACACAAACCAGACCCACTCCTTCCTAATGACCATCATTGTCTCTTTTCCTTGAATTTCTTCTCACTTGGTCATTAACTCCTGATTCCTGACTTCAACTGTGTGTCAACTGTGTGCTTAGCATTGAGGACACAACTGTAAATTAGAGATTCGGCTTGTCCTCACTGGCTCATTATAATCATCCAAAGGGAAATATGACAAACGATGGACTGCAGCTGCAGTGTACATAAAAGAGAAATTGTAGGTTCTGTGGGGTATGTAAGTAGAGGTCTTAACCTCATTAGGGATTCAGCTCTTTGGATAAAATTGAATAGCTTTTCAATTTGACTTACTGTTATATAGAAGCAACTATGAAGACTCTTCTTGGTTTAAACAGGATTCATCTTGAGTGATGAGGCAGCAACTGAAGAGCAGGATTCAATGGCTGGTCAATCACAAGATTTCTGGGTGACTCAGCAGGAAGAAGAAAATCCTTAATTCTTCTGAGCCAGTTGGGCATTGAAGCCATGAGCTGGGGCAGGAGAGGCAGAGTCTGGTGGGCTGTGTCACCAGGGCTGCCTAACTGGCTTCTATGACCATGTGACACACCCCTTTGTAGATTCTAAGCAATCGGTGGAGTCTATCTATTTATTACTGCTTGAATTGTTGGTTCTTCTTAACTACTTTGATTTAGGCAGAGACAGTTATTGTGATCTCACCTTCGGCATCATGTTACAAATACATTCCAGAAGATATTTATAGTTTCCAAAAATATACTTCTGTGTAAATGTAGAAAAATTCAGACATGACGTCAGTTCTAGGGAAATATGTGAAGTTAGCTAAGACAGGACCTCACATCAAAATAAAGGAAAGCTAAAAACATCCCCCTAGAAATGGAGAAGTAACTTAACAAAACTCAGTAGTGACCCATAGTTAAAAACTTTCAAATAAATATCAAAAAGGAGCATCTTCCATTTGAAAAAGGGAGTCAGCAAAGCCTTATGACTAACATGCCGGGGAGTGAGAATGGGCCCTTGGTTCCTAAGACAGGGAGCAGCTCAGATGTTTAGTGTCCAAAGTTAGATGTCTGTGATGTTTAGTGTCCAAAGTTAGACCCAGAATATATTTCAAATAGAGACCCAAAGGCAGTTTGCTGAAGGAAGGACATGTCAGAATGGATGGAGGAATTTTTTGTAAGACCCCACCCATGGAAGAAGAGCCACAGGCAGTCAATGGCTGCCGAGGGAGGGGAAACCAGGTTTTCTGTTTTATTTTTCTGTTACCCCTTTTCTCCCTGAAAGCTGAGACCCCAATCGTAAGCAGTCATCTCTAAATGCCTACAAATCAAGGCAACATGAGTTGTACTCAGTAGGTTGTGTGTGAGGGTGTAGAGGTAGGAGTGATATATGAATATATGAAGACGACGACGACGACGACGAGGTCATAACTTTGAGAGAAGAAGTTCATAGTGGGGACATGGGAGGAATTAGAAGAGGGTGTGGGAAGGATTCACATGCAGGAAACATACTGTTTGCATGTATAAAATCCTCAAATAAAATAAATAAAAAAATTTTTTAAAGTGATAATTGGGCATCTATATGTTAAACAAAACACACACACACACACACACACACACACACACACACATATATATATATATATATATTACACACACACACACACACACACACACACACACACACACACACACACGAAAGCCATGGATAATAGATCATTGTGTAAAACACAAAATAAACATTCCTAAAATACAATATAGGACACAATTTTGTGACTTTGGTTATGTAATTTTCAAAAGGAAAATATTGAATTAGAATGACTGAGGTAGTGGCACATGATTAAACATGCCTGTAGTGGCACATGACTAATTTCTGTCCTGGGGAGACTGAAGCAGCAGGATCATACATTTGAAGCCACCTCAGGTTACAGTGAGACAGATACAAAGAACAAACTAAAGAACTAAAACTTCTGCTACGCAAGTGATTGTTGATAAATTCACAATTAAAATCCACAGACTTGGAGAAAAGATTTGCAAAGCACAAGTCTGATTGAAGGTTTGTGTCTAGAATATTCTAAAAGCAATAAAATCCATGAATAAATGGACAGTCTGATTAAAATGGGAAATATTTAAAGAGACTGATATTTCAACAAAGATACATGGGTGGCAAATTAGCTTAGTGCATTACTCATTAGGGAAATGCAATTAAGAGCAAAGTGACAGACTACCTGCACACACTTCACCAGCTAAAATAAAGCTCTTACCTAGCAGTTTGGAATCCTGTCTAGGCTGGGGAGCGGCTCAGCTCAGCCACTGCTGACAGGAAGACAAATTTACAACCATGTTGGAAGTTTCTTTAGACGTGTCCTTAACAATTAAACATGTTATTACTGTTTGCCTTGGAAATACAATGCTTTAGTATTTATCCAAGAAGAAAAAAGGTCATATTCATAGGAAAGCTCAATGCTGATATGTGCAGTGCTTTTATTCATAATTGTTTCAAACTCAAAGCCTCTTGAATGACATTCAACTTGTGAACAGATGAATAAAAACAGTGTGTGTATGTATATATACATATATGTATACATGCATATATGTATACATATAGCATATATATATACACACACAATAGAAAGTTATTTAGCAATAAAGAAAGGAGAAATTATTGATCTATGCAACAAAAGAAATGAATCTAAGATTCAAGAAGCCAGACTTTAAGTGCTACTCTCTGTCTCTTTGTCTCTCTGTCTGTCTCTGTCTCTGTCTCTGTCTCTGTCTCTCTCTCTCTCTCTCTCTCTCTCACACACACACACACACACACACACACACACACACACGGCAGACGAATTTCTATCAAAACAAAATGCATATGCACAGCCAAAGGAACAATGAAGAGTCGAGAGACAGCTGATAGGGTGGGAAATATTGGTGAATGATACATCTTAAAGAGTTAATATCCTAGTATATTAAGAATGTAAAGATCTCAATAGCAAGGAATTAAAAAAAAATTGAGCTTAAAAATGGAGAGATACCCTGAGGAAATATTTCTTATAAGAAGACATACAAATGGCCTATAGATTTATGGAAAAAGGTTTTTTATCCCTAGTTATCAGAGAAATGTAAATTAAAAAGACTTAAACTCACACTTGTCAGACTGGCTATTGCTAAAGAAAGAACAAGTATTGCCAATAATTTGGTGGAGAAAGAGAATACTTACTGGAAATGTAGTGTCCCAGCCATTATTGAAGATAGTATAAGATCCCAAAAAACTTAAAAGTTAACTACTGTATGAGCCTCAATCTCATTAGTGTGTATGTACCCAAAGAGAAAGGATAGTCATACACTGAAAAGATATATACCCTCGTATTTATTGAAGCACCATTTGTAACAGCCATAATAAAGCATCTTCCTAAATGTGTATCTGTGGATGAATGCATATAAAACATGGGGCATATATAAGTAACAGAATATCAATCAGCCTTAAAAAGTAGGTAATCCGCCTGGGCTACCAAGTGAGCTCCAGGAAAGGCGCAAAGCTACACAGAGAAACCCTGTCTCGAAAAACCAAAAAAAAAAAAAAAAGTAGGTAATCCTGTCATTTGTGACAACATGAATGAATCTGGAAGATATTGAATAAAATGAAATAAGCCATGAACAGAAAGATCCATTTTTCATGATGTCACTTACATGTGGACTCTAAAATTGCACTATGAATTACACTCATAGACACAGAGTGTAGAATGGGGGTTGCCAGATACTAAGGGTGGGGTGAAGAGCCTGAGGAGATCTTCCTTCTTAATAATAAAATTTGCCAGTCTTAGCACCTCTAGAGTGCTAAGTCCCTTCTCTGTACTTGGTCTCAGGTATCTTTTCTGTGCCTCCGTTGTATGAGTGGCATCCCTACAGAACTGCCTTTCTCTGCTGCCACTCTCAGAGGACACCTGAAGATCCCGTCCCATCAACTTTTGGTCTGCAGTGCAACGGGGACTTGACTTATAAAGACGAGGGCCTTATGCTTGGACTCTTCATCAATACATCCAGGATAGCACTGATTGTATCAGATCAAATGTATTTAAGTTTTGAATGATGGACATGCCATGTACATTTCCATGTTAATACTGTTGAGTGACAAAACAGAGTTAGAACTTGGGAATGAATGGGCAAGGGTGAAGCAAAGTCTGGGGAAGAACAAAAGGAAGTGATTTTGCAGTCACAGTGCCTCCCGATTCCACCTCATGAGTTCTTTAGGCATGTGCACAGGAAAGCCCTGGAGGCCAGTAACTGGGAAGTGTCTAGCACTGTCACCTCCTCTATTGTGAAAATAGCAACATGCTTGGATGATGCTTCACAAGCTCTACACAGAATAAAAAGGCTCCTGCCCTGGACTCCTTATCCATTGTCTGCTGAGAACTTCCCCCCTCTCCTTCGCATCTGGTAAGTGCCCATTTGGGACGATTTCATCATGTAGGGGTGCGTGGGACAGACAAGCCAGGTCTAAACTAGGACCTGAGGAAGAGGCCCACAGTTGGCAATGGAAGGGGGTGGGGGGAGTTGGTAATGGTGAGGGAGCTTTTTATCATTGTTCTGAGTGCATTACTAGGGATATATGTTGATCTATCTAAAAGTTGTGAGATGCTTTATACAGATGGGTGTGTGCCTCCATGCTCCTGTTTGTCTCATAGAGATCTTGGCTTAGGAAGCCGATAGATCATGGGAGGCATGTATGTGACAGATTAAGTCAATAGATGTTCACCGGAAGCTTCTCTCTACAATGTTTCTACTATACTTTTCTAGGTCAAATTTCTGCCAATATGTCCTGCCAGCAGAACCAGAAGCAGTGCCAGCCTCCTCCCAAGTGCCCCTCCCCCAAGTGCCCCCCAAAGAGCACAGCACAGTGTCTGCCTGCTGCCTCCTCCTGCTGTGCTACAAGCTCTGGGGGCTGCAGTGTCCCCAGCTCTGAGGGAGGCTGCTTCCTGAGCCACCACAGGCGCAGGTCCCACAGATGCAGGCACAGGTCCAGTTCCTGTGAGCGTGGCAGTGGCCAGCAGTCTGGGGGCTCGGGCTGTGGCCACAGCTCTGGAGGCTGCTGCTGACCTGGATCCTGAGGCTGAAGCAAGAGAGTTCAGAGGAAACCAAGAGTTCAGAGGAAACCAAGCAGTAGCCCCATCTTGGCTCATTCTTTCTCAGGCATCTGAATCTTCCTTGGGCTAATCATGCTTGGACTCTTCTAATGGATTTTCCAAAAGCTTGGTTATCTTCTCATTCTGATATACATCACCTGTGACTGGCCATGTAGGCGAATAAAACCCTCAACAACACCTTTGTGTTACTTGTCCCTTGATGTATGTACTCCACCCAAGGCTGCTCACTGGGTTTTTCCTTTCTCAGCTCTTGAAAGTCCAATATGCCCAGCACCTGAAAGTATCTTAGTTTGGGAATGAAGGAGTCCTGCCTTAGATTCTTCTTCATACAGAGGGATTATGTAGGAACTTCTAGCATAGACGTGTGGGTAGGAATAAGGGGAAATGTTTGGAGGTTTCTGAAGATCCTCTTGGGAAAAGGGCTCATTTTTCTTGTGTAACTTGAGAGATGGCATCATCTGATACTGAAATCCCTACTCTCTGTGTAGGATGACAGGGAGGATGAGAAAGGCGGCAAGAATGAGAGCACAAGGATGGAGGATGTGGAGAAAGGTCTGTAGGTAGAAGATCAAGCCAAGCTACACATAATAGATGCCAGAAGGTGAACTGGGTGGTTGAAAAATGAGTAAACTCTGGAGAAACTGGAGTGGGGGAATTTTCCTGAATGCAAATGAAATGCTGTAGGTGCTGAAAAAACTGAGAAAAAAGGATGTCTACAGATTGTAGACTTCAACTTCTCTTACAAGACGGAGAGGCAAAATGATGTGTGATTGGTAAAGGACCACGTTTCAGGTCACCTGCCTCAACTTTGGAGCGGAGCAGTACTTATTTGTACTGTGAACCAAGGTTGTCATTATCCATGTGAGCTGTGGATGTGACTTCACTTTGATGTCTTAGGTTTTGAAATATTACAGAATATATGCCCCATGGTTCTTGAACTAACTTCAGAAAGATGCCCAGACCTTGCCTACATTCACAGTTGAGGCTGAGCGTGGAGGCTCTAGACTATGGACAAAAATCCTTGTAAAACATTGGGGATTTACTGGAATAAAATACCTTGAATAGCTCTGCTCTTTCATTTGCTCTAAAAGCCAACTGGAAACATGCTTTGTATTATTATTCTTGGACATATATTTTCTTATGAAAGAGAAGGAACCATACCCAATGGCAGTCGGTGCTACCTCTGCTCTGTTACTCAAGTCACTCAACTGGCTGAGACAGAGTGCTCTGAAAGAGTGGCCACTGGCATGGAACTTCCTTTGGAGCAGGATGGAGGAACCACATGATAGGCTTCATGGTCTTGAGATGCTCTTGGGGAATACTCTGCAGAGTCAGAATTAAAATGAATCTCAGATAAAAGGAAAAGAATGGACAAGCTCTTTTTGAGAACACATGACCTCACATTTAGCTATGTCGAACACCTAGAATCATAAACACTGGTTAATCTGTGCTGGTTCCTCTGGAGCTCATGGGAAACATGTACATTTCAGGGTAGATAGACTAAGATTTATCAGTCAAGTTCCAGCTACACATAGATAGCATCAGGGAAGATTAGCAGATCAAATCCCAGCTCTGGAGACTCAACAGCTGAGCAAAATGTCTAACTTCTCTGCTCCAAAACATGGGACAGTCATCGTTCCCTTGGAGAACTAAATGTTTCATGTTAGTTTGCATATGTAATTATGCAAAACATTATTGAAATACTAATTCTCATCATTTGGACATCTTTAATGTGAAAACTGAGAAACCAGGCTCAGGGTTCAGAAGATTCTAACCACAGCACACCATATTGGGAAGTCTAATGGGATGAGGAAAGAAAGAAGAGAGCTAATGAGCTAATGACCCAACCCTGGCTAGTTATTAGGATAGCCATATAATTAATTACATGTAACATTGTTGCTAGAAATTGTTCCCGATAGATGAGGTCCAGGTGGGTAGAATAACAATTGGTTCTTTGAACTTGTTCATGTTATAGACATGGAGCAGCAGATCGGGGAGGGCAGCTCCTGAGCTTTACAGGTTCTTCACCCCAGGACAGAGAACTGTATTGGGGACACGTGGTTAGAAATAGAAATATTTATTAATAAAGAGAAGCACACTCTGGAGAATGGGAGTGGGCTAGAGAGCAAAGGAAATGCATAATATCAGAAGTGCTGGCTCTCAGGACCCTTCATCATCATTTCTACAGCATCCACCTTCTCCCAGTGTTTTTATGTCATGTTTGTCTTCTCTCCTCATGCTTGCTATATTTACTGCATATTGCCCATGTAAGCAAGGGTCCCCAGTCATCTACTCACACCTTAATTCATATGTTAATTTTGATGTCTCTCTCTAGTCTCTGGTCACAGATAGGATGCTGTCAAAGCCAGATCAGCAACCATCAATTCATTTTATAATCATTTGATTCCCAAATAGTTGTTGAGTATCCCATGTGCCGGGTATGATTGTAGGCACTGTGTTACCATGGAAACAAGGATTCTGTTCCCTTGGAACAGATGCCCATCTGAATGAGCACTTTCCAGGTTGGTACCTGTAGTTTCTCACTCTGTAGGCTATTGCATTTGCATCCTCTTTGGTAGTAATCGGCAGTGGAGGGTAGGTAAATCCAGGCCTGAGCAAAAAGTTAAGGCATGAAAATGCTTGACTGTATAGGGTGTTTGGAAGTCAGAGAGTGACTTCTGTATTCTCAGTAGAGTCAACAGTTTTAATAATGGGGGAAAGTCAGCAGACCCTGGTTACTGTTGTCCACACCACATCACCCTACTTCATGGAACATCTAAGTTCAAAGGAAGATACACCAGTGTCTGGTCCTGGTTCCAGGAATTTTACAGATTGTTTTCCAATGGTTTCTCAAATGACTAGTCTACAAGTCAGCAGCAGCCCTCAGAGCTGTGGTTACAGGCAGAATCCCTAGACTGCTGACCAAGCTGCTACCACAGGAGTCATGACTCCAACCCCAGCATCTGTGGCACTGGTAGCAACTCTGTTGGCTTAAGCAGCAGCTGCCCTCAGAACTGGGTTCACTGCAGCCACCAGAGCTTGTGGCACAGAAGGAGGAGGCTGCAGGTAGACACTGTACTGGATTCTTTGGGAGACACTTGGTCGAGGAACACTTGGGAGGGCTAGACATAGTTGCTGGTTCAGTGGCAGGACATTTCAGGAGGAATCAGTGAGCCTGCATAAAGTAAATTAAAATAAAATAACATAGTAAAACAAAACAAAATATGCCAACACATATGCTTCAAGCTACTGTCCGCTCATTCTTTAGTTGGAGATACTTACACTTTCATTCATCCAAGATCTAGAGAAGGGAAATGGACTGTTTTGGAATTAAATTAGCCAGGTGAGCTATGGTTCTTTGCTCTCCATCTTTCGGCAGCTTCTGGGTGCTGCACTAGACAGGATTTCACAAAGACCATATGTGAACAGTGCCCCCTGCAGGTACTCAGTGCACAAGACACACAATCACCCTTTGCTTTCCAAGGTGTCACACCTGTGAAAAAACGTGATGATCAGTGAGGGTTTGAAGAGTCAGCAAGTGTCTCACCAGGCACGAGAGGAAAGGCATGAGATCATCAGGTCAATATCATCATAGAACGCTGCCATGGCTCACAGATCTTCATTTTTATCTCCTTTTTCCACTGTTGTGGTTCCTACCAGGTCCTCTGCCACCTGCGAGGGACCGGTCTTCCTGGAAATCTCCATGTTGAACCACAGGCATGTCTGCTCAACTCTGTTGACTCAGGTCCACTCTCAAGATGAGCACTTATTAGTTCTGGCTAAGAACTGTTTTACATTGACTGTATACTAAGCAACCCAGGACTTCAGACCTTTTTATCTTGAGCTAGGTTTTATGGTACACACATACGTATGTGTCTTTGTTCTACCCCAGGGGAAGGCTGATAGCATCCCACGCTTCAAAGAACAGGTTTGCAATATTTTCCTCTGCACATTTCAAGGAATTACCTACGTAAAGAAGAGAATCAGAATGAGTGTTACCTTCAGCTCAAATCCTGTGGCAGCCACAGTACTTGTACATTTTCATTCTTCTCACATAACCCTCCTCAGAATATGTTCTTCATGTTCACTGGTAATATGGAGACAAACAGCATATTGCTGCCCTTGACTAGCTCTTAGAATCTCAGAAGGACAGATGGAGAATTGAACTCCTAAGCCTGACCATGTAGACTACGTGGCAGTGCCCACAGGTGTAGAAAGGCAGCAAACAGTTGGAGCCACTACTTGTGGGTGTCACTCCCACTTCTTTGTAGAGTCCCTTAGTGGATGATAGATAAGTTAGTTCCTTCCATATGGGTTTTGATTGAGTTGTTTATTGATCTTGGTAATGAGACAGGGTTACATAAGGGGGTAAGCAAACGAATGGGGTTGGACCTTGGTTTGAAAGGTTAGAACCTCTTCTGAGAACTCCCTGCATCTGCAATGAAGCATGGAGTGCTGAGAGGAGGAGAGCTGTGGGAGGTCTTGGCAGAGGATCAGATTGTATGAACATGTAACCTCCATCTCCGGGGCCAACAGAAATCACAAGCAAAAGGTAAAGGAACATCTGTCTGTTGGGTTTGTGAAGTTGCATCTAGTCATACATATTGATGAAGATTTTGTTGATAGTAATGAGTCTGATGGAGTTGCATAGATTTCTCTTACCAAATAGTCGCAATGATGCTTGAGGTTTGTATATGGTAAAATCATATGAACTCAATGTCATTTTCATTTAACTTTAATTATTACCCCAATGATAAAATTAGCCAGTGGCTCCATCTTTAATAAGATAGTATAATATGTTGTAGATGCTACAGAAAAACAATCATGGATTTTTAAATAATATTAATTGCTCTTGTATTTACCCCTTCCTTTTCTCTGTTCTTCACTTTACTTTGAGTGTGTACAATACTTCCGGTTCTTTAAAGGATCCTGTAGTTTTTCAGCTAGTGATGTAGCCCAGTTGGTAGGGTGCTTGCCTTCTGTGTATGAGGCTGTGAATTTTGTCCCCAGTGCCACAAGAAAGAGATGTTGTAGAACTATGAATAAGAAAATGAGCACTCCAGAGGGAGAGCTGGTGAAAGGCTGGGACAGGCAGGAATGTTTCTGGATCATGCTTCAGTCTATGCAATGGAGTCCTTGAACTCTGTTCCAAGTCAGCCTCAGGACTAGGCTAGAAGTGATATTGACTCTATGTTACCAACACTCTCTTTCATAACTTTACTTGGAGATACTGTAATAAAGATAGTTAATTACAAAGGATGACAATAAGCATTGGTGAAATGCAAGACTAAATGGTGAGGCTGGGAAGAAAGTTTAAAAAACAAAGTCTGTTCTCAGATGAATAGTATAAGTACCAAATACAGTAGTGATGAATATTCCTGAAGGAGAAATTCAGGTCATTTATGATGTCCTGCAGTCCGGTTCAGAACTGCCTGCAGAAGTAGATATTTTAACTTTTTGGTCAGATATTCTCTTTAGGCATAAGCACAGGCCATTTAAAAATCCAAATTTAGGTGATCTTGGGCCTTTACCAGGCAAGAACCAGGGTATAACACACAATACCGAGATTAGTTAGGAGCTCAATGATTAAAATATACCAGAGACATCTGTTTGAGTTGTCATGGAACACAAGCAGACTTCTTGGTGACTTCTCAGACCTTGACTTCCTATTGGAGGATTTCATTCTAGGTGCTTCTTTTCATCCTGGAGAAGGTGAGTCATTATCCCCACCCTGCAAGGAGAATGGACACGCAGAGAAGATACCTTGTGAGGACAGAAGAGTGACTCATTAGCTAGTTTAGCTAGTCTTTTCTCCCCGAGCATTTGCCAGTTCCAGGTGGAGTATACATAAGTATCATCCTTCGTGGTTCTGACACTGTGGGGCCTGCAGAGAAATTGTGAAGACTGAACCTGATTCAGCTGACTGAACCTTTGGAAGAGCTCATCATCTGGTTATGCCACTTGACCTAGTAGGAACACACAACGCAGGCTTACCTTTCAGCCAAGGTACATCAGTGACAAAATAATTGACAAGACTATGACTTTTCATGCAAGTCTAGGTGACAATTGACAAGTCATTTCCCTTCCAGTTCAGGTCATCATGTTGTATATGCTACAGAAAAATCAGTCATGGGTTTTTAGATAGTATGGATTTTTAAGTAACATCCTCATCATGTTCTCCCCCACCCCCATATCATATAAAATGCAGTTGAATCATTTATAAGAAGCATGGATAAAAAGCCTGAGTGTGCTGAATTGGTCTCTGATTTAAGCATATCTCCTCTGCTCCCAGTTCTGGTTCTTGTCTAGGTCCTAATACTCTTTCTATGTGATAAATCTCTGGTCCATTTCTCCTAAAACTTTGTTAATTGAATATTTGGAGGCTTACTTACTGTTGTGAAATGATTTTGTCCGGATCTCCAAAGCAGAGGACAGTAGGATGTAAAGCTCTATTGCATCTGAGGAAAATAGATGCAAATGTAGCTTTGTGGAACTGGAACTTACTCTACACTGGGAAGAGTGCCTTGCAACTTCACTGATTGTCCCCACCTTCATTTAAAGCCATATAAACAGAGGCTGGAAATCAGAGGACTCCTAGTAATTGATTATAATCTTAGAGTAAAGGTTTGTGGCATGTTTCTTCTCTTCCTCATAGTGAAAAGGAGCAACACATCCCATTACACTTCATGGAACTCCAAAAGGGCTACTTATAAGGTTACAGTGTCTCCAAGAAAATTAGACGAGCATTTCAATCCATGCTTAGATTGCCCACATTATATTTGTTCTCTAACCCTGTTGTGGTTAGTTGGGGAGAAAGAGTTGGCAGAGCAAGGGAAGTGGGCAGCATGCAATTTGCCTAATTGCTTTCTATCTGATAAAGCAAATGGATACTGCAGGAGATGGCCAGACTTGAGTATGACAGTATTACATTGTCTACAGGCAAAGGGGTGCTGCACCAAGTGGCAGGTATTGATAAATTCAAAACAGAATCTGGATTCTCCTCCCTAGAAATAAACATATCTAGGCAAGCCAGATTTCTTGTTTGAAAAGCAGTTTACACTGTGATGCTGAGAACCAAACTGTAGACATGTAATTCTGCTGGCAACAGTTTATTGAGCTCTAAGGTTGTGACCATTGGTGACTCTTTTTTCCTAACAGTTGAACTTGGACCTTGTTAGTTGTCTTAGTTAGAGTTTCTATTGCTGTGAAGGGACACCATGACTACAGCAATTCTTATAAAGTAAAACATTTAGTTGGGATGCTTTCCTTACAGTTTCAGAGGTTCAGTCCATTATTATCATGGCGGGGAGCATGGCAGTGTGCAGGCAGACATGGTGCTGTAATAGTAACTGAGAGTCCTACATCTTGCAGGCAACAGAAAGCCAACTGGAACATTGAGTGATATCCTGAGCATAGGAAACCTCAAAGCCTGCCCTCACAGTGACACACTTCCTTCGACAAGGCCATGCCCACTCCATCAAAGCTACACCTCCTAATAGTGCCACTCACTATGATATTATGGGGCCCAATTACGTTCAATACACACACACACAAACACACACACACACACACACACAGAGAGAGAGAGAGAGAGAGAGAGAGAGAGAGAGAGAGAGAGAGAGAGAGAGAGAGAGAGAACCACATCATTGCTGTGCTGCTGGGAGTTCCTGCAGGTCACATGTTCACCTCCAGAAAGCCAAGGTGAAAATCAATAGCAGGACCAAATGAAGGGGTATTTTTTTTTTATTCTCCCTCTCCTGCCTTTAAATGTAAGTCAGAAAAGAAAAACCTGTTTAAAAGAGGGAGGGGAAAGAAGACACTCCAGTTGATTCTTATCAGCACCAGGGAAGAGACTATTTGAAATCAAGGCTGAATTCAACTGGATTAGACTGAGATTGTGGTGATGATAGTGGTGGTAGTGGTGGTGTGTGGGTGTGTGCATGTGTTGATTTCACTTAGTGGAGTGAGTGACTGATCTCAGTGTAGGAGATAGCAACATTTGGGAGAGAGTGAGAATTTCTGCTTATTTTTATACCAAATGCTGTTTTGGAGTCTTCTGTATAAACCAAAAGATGAGTGTCACCACTGCTCAGGGGGAAGGGGATTATTTTCTAAATAGTAATTAATGGAATTAGCTCTATGAATTAAATGTATTTTTAGGTGTATGTGTGCCAGTCACAGAGGCTGAGAAATGTACCCACATCTGCTCGTGAAATGCTTGTGTTGGCAAATTCCTCCTTTTTCTACCCTCTCAATTCCTATAGACTACTTATAAATGAAGGTGAGTGATTCATATTTTGAAGCTTGTCTGGTCTTGGGCTTGTAATTTGAAGAATATTTGTGGAAGCATTTGCTTCTTGAGTTGTTGGTTCACCTAATGCTGCTCCTGAGAGTCCTCCAGACCCAGGTCTCCAGCAGTCTGGTTGCGTGGCAGCTGTGGAAGTCCCCACCGCTGCCTATTACCCTAAAGTCTTGATAGCAGGACTGGGGTCTTTGGGACTCAGGTCATCCTCGGCAGCAGCTGCGTCAGAACCACAATGAGATGCTCTGGGAATACATTCAGAGCTGGATGAAGATGGTCACTTTGGAGAACTGCTCAGGGGCGAAGCCCTTGAGAGGTGTTTAGTATGACTGATGGTTTCATTGCCACCTCATCTCAGAAAGATCAAGTCATCGTCTACTCAGATGTATCAAATAGCATCCAAGTACTTTTCTTTTGAACTTAAACAATATTATGCAGATAATATGAGGTTAAAGTAAACAAGCAATGAAAAGAAAATTCTTTCCCCGGGACAATTGCTTTATGAAGACCCTTTCATTCTAGAAAAATAAAAAAGTTTGTGTCTGTGCATAAGTATACACGACCTTGGCCAGGCTCTTAGCTGCCTTCAGAGACCCAGCCCATGGAGACAGCAGTGTCTTGACCAACATTCAAATCACTTTGTGCTAGGTTTACGGAGTTTCAGGGCTGACTCCTTTATCTGGACTTCTCTGTGTGCGCCACCCCTCTTCCCATTCCCTTTGTTTCCTTTCATTCTCACTTCTTCTTTCCAAAAGCCTGTGAATATTGACAGAGAAGTTTCTTTGGTTTCAGGCAAGGCCTCCTCCTGGGGTATCAGAGCACAGGAGGAGGCTTGTGTAGAAGGCACCTTCCTTTGGACTGGCCTGTGAGCGCTGCTGTGAGTAGGGGGTGGGGGGGAAGGTGGAGGCTCTCACATAGCAGGGCAGGCCATGCTGCTCATGGTATATATTGATGTTCATCCCACCTAGAGTGGCCCCATGGAAAGCTCTCAAGTGGCCCCTTTCTGTTTATTCTATGGACAAGATGAAACCACTAAGACACACCCTTTTCTTGCTCTGGACACCTCTGGGCAGCCTGGACATTCCAAGGAGGCAGGCAGCCAATGGATTGGAGATTCTGCAGATCCAGGTATCAGTGTATTTATGCCAATTATGAAACCATTATGAGGGTCCCACCCTCTCCTGTAACCTAGTTACAAAGAAGGCAGAAGGAAGAGAGATCAGTTGCTAGTAGTGGGACAGATAGTTTAGTCAAGACTTTGAAGGAAGCATAGTCAAGACTTAGTGACTCAATGCCCCTGTGAGATGGAGAGTAAGGGTTAGTCAAGACGATGCCACTGACCATCCCATCTAAAGGCTAGGGTGTGGGATTACCATGAATGAAACCAAGCAGAGAAGTCATTTTAGAGAACTGCTCTCTGTCATAGAAGGACTCCGGATTTAGACAAAAAAAGAGTCTGGGGCCTAGTGTTCTTCTTGTCAAAAGAGGCATGGAGGAGACCTCTGAAAGGCAAAGATTATTTTCTTTCTGTTTTCTTCTTTACTTTCTGCCCTTCTCATCTTTCTATCCTGCCCTCCCCTTCTCTCTCTCCTTCCCCCACCTCTCCATCTCATTCACACAGAGCCAGTTTAGTCTTTTCATTCTTATTATAAGATTCCCACCACCCCCCAATCCCACTGAACTATGAACAGCTTGGCAGGTAAGATTTATGTGTTATCATCTTTGCATTCCTAAAGAATGATGGATCGGACTGGAAATTGATCGCACAGGAAGTATTTTATTAATCTTTGCTGAATTAAATGAAAAGCACCAAGAAGACTGAGATCATGTCAAGGAAAGATAATGAATGAGAAGTTGGAGATGGCAAGAACAAAGCCAGTGCCCCAGGGAGTTGGCTTACAGCAGGAATTCCACTGGTACATTCCTTTTGCTCCTGCCCTATGTCTGAACTTCTGCAGTTCAGAACCACGATCATAGCGGAGGCTGTTCCTGGCTCCAGGGTTTCTACACCTCTCTTGTTGGAGCATCTCCTCTTTGCTCTGGGCTTCAGTAGAATCGGGTGATGCTGTCTAGGCACTGGAGTGGCAGGCCCTATGGTGGTTTGGGGCAACTTTACAATGGGATATATGCAGCTCTGACAAGCTGAAAGTCATAGAGGCCTAGGGAGACTGTAGACAATTTGGGACTCTAAGATGGAACGTGGAAGAAACCATGTCATCCTAGTCTCCTCAGAAAGGCATGGACGCCTGAAAATGTCTTGGCCCACTTCTTCAAGGTTCCTTGCCAGTGTGAACACAGAAACAGTTAACTTGTTTAGTTCTCAAGAGTGGAGCTTAGATGATAGACCTGATGAGAATCTAGGAGTTAGATAAGAATTTGTCTGGGTTTAAGGGAATACCTCTGAAAGTTCTGGGAAGAAATTTATGAGGTCAGTCAGTTCTGTAAATACAGGGGCTCCACAGGTTCTGATGGGCAGGCTGAGTTGACTGCACATAAAGGTCTCAGGCGAAGGAGCTGTGTGAAAGGCATGCAGGAACATATAGGGAGCAAAAGACAGGTTTATCAGCTTCTATGAATTGACTGTCTATAACTTACTTAACATCTCAGTGCCTCATTTTTCATCAGTAAAATGAGTATTAATCTGGTGTCGTAGAATTCATTACAAGTACAATAAGCAAGGCAGTGAGATGACTTGCAAAATATACATATGGACCAAAGCCTTAGACGAAAACACTGCTTAACATTCATATGTATGATTCCTTAATGTCTCACAGATGAATCCTCAGGCGAGTCCTTCCAAATCAATGTTTATCTTAACTGTAGTCCCAAGAAATGCCAGTGCCTTCTAGTCTCCACGTTTAATATATACAAAAGACATGACCCTTTTCAGGTTATTTAAGACCAGAGATGCCAACAGAGGAGCACTAACCTATGGTAACTAAAATGGTATGAAGCCTATACCATTTTATTCTAGATTTTTTTTTTTAAAAAGTGGCCATGGAATAGAAGTAGGTATTATACAAGGAGGATTCTTATTAGAGAAAGGTTAAGGAAAATAATGCATATTTCACAAGACAATTCAGACATTTATGCAATTGTTATCAAACTTCGGTTATACCTTGTGACCCAAATCAGGTCCAGACACCCATACTCTCAATCAACCAATTAGAAGAGCCAATTTTCCAAAAAGTGAAAGGCAGAAAAAGGAGATTTCTTTAGTGTGCCCACACGGAGAAGAGCGACAGAGAGAGCCAGCAAACTCATCTGTCTTCCCACTGCACCCAGGTTGGACTTCACATGGATGCTGGGGATCTGAAAGCATGCCTTCATGCTTACACAGCAGATGCTCTACCAGCCAAGCCATTTCCCTGCCCTCTTTGAAACTTTACTGTCATTCTGAAGATTTAGAACTCTATTTCGTGTTACTAAGTTATGACTTTTCTTTTCGTTACCCAGATTCATCTTCCCCACTTCTATGTCTATTTTAGAACCGGGATTCCTTACTGTACAGAAGAAAAGAAATATTGTCTTGTTTCTGGTTCAAAACATTTCAGATCCCAGAATACAGTAGCAGGGAACCTACCAAGGGAGGCCTATGTCCTACTAGAAGTAAATTGGGGCAACCCAGAGGAACCTTGCTCAGAGAAGATGGTGGAAATACACTTGCCTTGAGTTTTGGAATTCCTAGTCGGTGTTTTCCATAGGGTCTGGCAGATACAACTTGAAAAGCAGTTAATAATTTCTGCCTTCATGGAGGGAGGGAGATTCTGGTGGCAGAGTGCTCACCTGATGAACTGTCCTAAGAGTTTGCCTTCCTGCTAAAGTAGGTAAAGAAGGGTGCATCGTGTATTACATAGGCACTGACTCCACTGGGACCTGACGTAAATTCTGCAGCTTTTGCATCATAACTATCTCCAGTCATAATATTTGCTACTAATAAAGAAATCAGGAACTCAATAGTTAATGACAAAATGGGTAAAAGTTAAAAATATTAGAGCCGGGCGTGGTGGCACACACCTTTAATCCCAGCACTCAGGAGGCAGAGGTAGGCGGATCTCTGTGAGTTCGAGGCCAGCCTGGACTACCAAGTGAGCGCCAGGAAAGGCGCAAAGCTACACAGAGAAACCCTGTCTCGAAAAAACCAAAAAAAAAAAAAAAAGTTAAAAATATTCTATTAAGAGCAGAATATTAGAAATAATTCATTTGTAATGAACACATAAGTCAGGCAAAACTTCGCACATATTCCATGAAATAGATTCTCATTCATCAACACTTTGCTCCTGATACTAAAAACAACACCCAGCACACACTTTGAGAAATCAAAGTAGACCTGGGATGGTGGTGAGGTAACCTTTTGTTCTATCAGTTCTCAGCTTTTTTTTTTTTTTTGCATTTTTCTTTATTAAGAAATTTTCTACTCACTCTACATTCCACCCACAGATCCCACCTCCTCCTTCCTCTCACCCCTAGCCCTCCCTCCCAAGCCACCCCACATCCCCACATCTCCCAAGTCAAGGTCTCCCATGGGGAGTCAGCAGAGCCTGGCACACTGAGCCCAGGCAGGTCCAATCCCCTTCCCACTGCACCAAGGCTGTGCAAGGTGTCACACCACAGGCACTGGGCTCCCAAATGTCTGCCCATGCACCAGGGATGGATCCTGATTCCCCTGCCCAGGTGCCCTCCAAACAGTTCAAGCCAAACAACCACCTTCCATATCCAGAGGGCCTAGTCCAGTCCCATGGGGGCTCCACAGTCACTAGTCTACAGTTCATGGGCTTCCACTAGCGTGGCCGGTTATTTCTGCACGTCTTCCCATCATGATCTCGATGTCCCCTGCCTGCAGAATCCCTCCTCTTTCTCATTGATTGGATTCCATAGCTTAGCCTAGCGCCTGGCCATGGATCTCTGCATCTGTCTCCATCAGTCACTGGACAAAGGCTTTATGATGATGGTTAAGGTATTCACTGGATGGGTCACCAGAGTAGACCAGTCCAGGCACCCTCTAGACCACTGCCAGCAGTTCAAGGTGGGGTCATCCTTGTGGATTCCTGAGAGCCCCCCCCCAGCACATATAAACAATGGAGTACTACTCAGCAGTAAAAAACAATGGTATCATGAAATTTGCAGGCAAGTGGATGGAAATAGAAAATATCATCCTGAGTGAGGTAACCCAGACTCAGAAGGACAAACATAGCATGTACTCACTCATAAGTGGATACTAGATGTGAGGGAAGGGATGACCAGACTGCAACCCACAGCTCCAGAGAGGCTAGCTAACAGGGAAAGACCCTAGGAAGGACACACGGATGACCCGGAGAAGGAGAAGTGGGTGAGATCTACATGAGCGGACAGAGTGGGGGGAGGGGGTGGCGGAGGGTGAGGAGTGGGGGATGAGAACATAGGGAAATGGGAGGGTTGAGCTGGAACAGGGACAGAGTGGGAGGTCAGGGAGGGAGATACCATAGTAGATGAGGATATCATGGGAATAGGAAGAGGCAGGGTGCTGGGGAGGCTCTCTGTTGTCAGCTTTAACAGAATGCAGCTGGAAGATCTGTCAAGGAGCACTGCCATGCCTAGGGTGCATCACCGAGCGCCATCTAGTGCTGGCTTAGGGAGTAGGCGCTGAAAGCCTCGTGCTCAGGGTATTTAACCACTGTCTTCCTTCAGTCCATACATTAGGTGATTCCGGTTGCAGCAGTGGCACAGCCGGCAAGAGGGCTGGTAAAAGCCAAAACTGCGAGAAGGGAACCTTTTATATTTGGTAGGGCTGTGTTCTGGAATGTGTGGCCAGTCTCCTCATCTTTTTTCCTATTCTCCCATCTCTTCATTTAAGTACATGGAAGCAGGGTTCTAGAGAATAATTTTTTAGCAGGAAAACCATGAAATTTAGTTCTAGAGGACCAGAAAGTATTGGAGGGAGTAGTTAACAAAAATGATCCTGTAAAGTTGTTTACGAGCGCCAGAGTTTAACACTGGGAGGCACTTACAAAGGGTTTGATAATTTACAGATATTCTGTTTCCCAGTCTCAGGCTCACAGCAGTTTGCCCTCTCTGGATAGATTACGGGAGTGCTTCAAGCACTTGAAAGTTTGACTGATATGGGCTGGGATTTGTACAATGTTTATTAATCCAATTGAGTGGCTGTTGAAACAAAATATCAACATTTTCTATAGGATTTTCAAAAGGCCCCAAGTTTTGTTTAAAATGTTAAAAATGTCCAACATACAAACCCTAATTACTTGGCATAATATAAAGCGTAAAGTATCAACTCATGCATAAAAAAGACAATTAATAGAAAACAGTCCATGGCACAGATGTTGGGGTTATGGGATGAAGATTTTAAAGCAGCGATTGTAAAGGTTCAAACAAACCATTAAGATAAAAAACAAAACAAAATAAAAAATCAGAAAGATGTTCAGGAGAACCAAAAGGAGATTCTGGAACTGAAAACACGTAGTAATCATTAAATTTTAAAAGTCACTGGGCCAATTCAATAGCAGAATCAAAGTGGCAAAGTAAAGAGACGGTGAATTTGAAAATGAACCAAACAACCAATCCATTCCAAATAGCAGAGGAAAAACAACATTAACAGCACCAGAGACCCGTGGGACAGCAGCGCAAGGTCTGTAGCGCAAGGTCTTGTCATCAGTTTCAGAAAGAGGCGATGAATGCAGAGAGAAAAGAACACTCAAAGAAAAGCAAGACCGAAGCCTTTGACTTTGAGTCCAGGACGTCAGCACATAGACCCAGAGTCGCCATTGCGAACTGCCATGGGAACCAGAGCCAAAGAAATCACCTCGGACGCAGCCAGAGAAATGGATGAATTACCAAAAGGAATATGGTTTCCAATGACTGCAGACGTCTTATCAGAGGTCACAGAAGCCTGAAGGGAACAGTGAACTGCCTTCAGAGCTCTGAATGGAACCAGTGGTGACAGCAGTCACTAGGAATCCTGTCAGCCTGAATCACCAGTCTTCTTGTGCAGCCTGCGAGTTTAAGGTCTTTCCCCTCTTAATTTTGGCTGCTAAGATCATTTTATTCAATCATTTTGCTAACCAAACACATGTAAAAATCCATTAGGATAGCTATACTTTATTCTATGGGTGCACAAGACAAATGCTTCATTTATAAGCAACTAACAATATGCTTTCATTACACTTTTTTTTTTAAGCCAGAAAAGATTTTACATGCAAAAAAAAAAATGATGCTGGCGGAGACAAAGTGGTTGGTCCAAAGCTACATGTGAAAATTCTTGCAAAGCCAGAGCTAGAACCCAAGTTTCTGAATCCTGCTCCAGGATTGGATCTTACAGGGTTTGAGACTCAGACATAACTGCTTATCTTCTTGTAATGGATAAGGGATCGATGAAATGAAAACACTTGTTCTGATTTCCAGCTGCCTCGGGCTTGGCTGTCCAAGATAACCTCCCTGTCTCTACTGTTCAGTGAAGGCTCTCTCGGTGGGGTCCTCCTACAGGGCACTCCTCTCTACTTTCTCACTTCCTGTTGCCGTTGTTATACCTGGACTCGCGCTGAGCAGCCCCGCGGGAAGGACTTTTCCCTGTGTTCTCTACCAGCTCCTCAGTCTCTTGACTCTTAAACTCCTGTGTCTACACAGGAAACTGAACGCTCTCCTCTACAGCAGCCAGAGCTATGCAAGCCACTCTCCGCTTTAGCCCCTGGGCCTACATTAAGATGCGTCAGTAGATGGCGCTAGAGGAGAGACTCACCTAGCGACAAAAGGGGGTCTATTATCATCAATGTGGAGTCGTCCCCCGACCCCGCCCGCGACCAGCCGCCGCATTAGCTTTTTACACAGGTTCGCACAGAAGCCTTAACGCCACCAGTCACACCCCCTCCTTAGAGAACCGAGTTCCAGGCCTGCAGCTCTCTCTTCAGAAGTTCTAGTTCCCGGGAAACCACAGCTTTGTCCTCGTTCACCAGCCTTGAGGCTTAACACCTTTCTACCCACAACAGGTTCGGCTTCCTACTTATATCTGAGTTCTTGCAACTAAAGATAGCTGTCTTGTCCCGGAACATTTGTACATCACAGGCATGTTTGTAGATGCGCAGAGTGGCTGGCAGAGGCACATAGAGAAAACGGTGATGCCAAAAATTAGCATGAAATGCCAACTGGCGTCTTTGACTATGATCGCTTCTTTTCTACTGTAAATACATGTTTGAAAAATTTCTCCCAATATTATTAAAGTGATAATGATGAGAAATTTTTTTATTTTGTATAAAAAGAACTTGATATTGTTGGATGTTGTTTCAAGGAGTGTTCAAGGGAGATACCTCCGGCTTCTCATCATCCCTTCCACTCTCCAAGGGTGGGATTGTTCCACAGACTCAACTACAGGAGTTCAGCGCGCCCTCTGCTGGACAGAATGGAACGAATGGCTAAGCAATCAGGAAGGTGTGTGGATACCTTGAGGAAAGGCTTTGGGGAGGTCGGCTTCTGGAGGCTGCAGCTAGCCTAGGCTGTAGAGCCACACTGAGGAGGTTGAGAATCTGTGGCAGTTTGGTACTTCCTGCTTTCCGCTTCCTCTCATCCAGTCCATTGTTGACAGGAAGACTCACAGAGGTCCCAAAGGCCTTGGTGTTTGGCCACCCTAGATGCTTAGCTTGCTTCTAACTAAGTCTTCCTGTCTTTTCTCTACTTCATGTTACAACCAAACACTGACTTTCTGTTCAGGAAATGATATTCTCTCTTAACTCCTCCTTGTGAATTTTAAAATTAAATCACTTATTGTAAAGAATTTTCAAATAAAAAGCATTGCATATCTAGATTAATGTAGCCACTCAAATAAGCACTTGCTAAGATGTGCAGTCTACACATCTCTGTGAATTTTGATAGAGTAGAATAGTCATTCTGAAGCTGTGCCCTTTGTGATTTTTTAGTGTCCCCCTGAGATCAGCACTGCTGAGGCATGCTCTTCAAAAGAGGGAACAGGACCTGAGTCAGAGGTGAGTGACCTGCTGAGAGGCACTGACAGCTCCAATTGCAGAGGTTGGAGCCCCAGTAGGGTGACCTCCAGCCTCAGCAGCTCTGTGTCTCTACTGAGCTGCACAGTTGTTCTCGTGTTTTTGAGATATGCTCATTGGGACATGTTGGGAAGTATTTATTTGCGAATGTGTGAGTCTAAGGAGTGACAAATGTCCATTTAACAGACTTTCCCTGGTTTCAGATCAACAGATGAGTAAAATGCTAGAAATGAAGATTGAGACTCTTGTTAGTGTGGGAGTGCTGCAGGTGGTCACTGGCTCCCTTTTAAGGTTGCTAAGTCTGGCTAAGGTCAGCTCTGACTCATTACCTTGCATAAGTAGCTCATCTTCTCCATGTGTGATATGAATTCTAGGATTCTGTCCTTGCCACCTGGACTATGTCCCCAGTGCATGAATGATCACTGACAAAGGCATTTCTCCCAAACCACTGGTATCTAACTTAGCAAAAGAGAATAAAAGGTGGACAGCCCTCTAGTGCATTATGGACCATTCCCCCTTCAACACTTGGACTCTTTGCCTAGTCACCATGGGGGGGGGGGATCAGAAGAGCAACAGGCTGGGTGAGATGCTGTGGTGTTAACAGAGACAAGAGACATAAATTGGGGCAGTGCAGGAAACTGAAATGTGGGAGTCTCATGTTCACACTAAAAGGTGACTGTCTGAAGATGATGAACTGAGAGTCTGTCAGATGTAGAATCTCATTAAAGTCAGTTCCCCTCACCATCGTGGCTTCCAAGAATAATACCCATTGTTACCTTGAACTGCAGGTCTCACCCTGCCTCCCACTCCGGATTGTTAAAATGGCAGGTATGCACCACCACTAACAGTCTAGAAATCAAGTCCAGGAGTTTGAACAAACTCAATGAGCAGTCCACCAACTATATTACAAGCTCAGCTCTCAATTTGATTTTTTTCCAGTATTTCCATGTCTATTTTGAATCCTTGTCTTATGTCATTTCCTTATTTAATCCAGCTGTTTGTTGTCTTTTGAATCCCTTAAGGAGTTTATTTGTATCCTTTTTGACTTTGTGAAACATTCCTACAACCATTCTCTAAAATTCCTCATCTGAGATTTCCTCACTCATTCTCACTGATAGTCAATACGGTGGAGTTAGTGTTTGGTTTTTCATGTTACTACACTGAGATTTACATCTCTGGGGGAATTGCATTGATTGGGTTTTCTGTTGGCTGTATTCTTTCGATTGAAGTATTTGCAATAGTCAAGTGGGCGTAGGCTATGGTAGAGTAGAGTACACAGTTAACTCCTCAGTCCCTGTACTCAAGATTCCTGGAATGGCCTGTGTGCTTCTTCTGAAATAGACTATCAACTGCAGACATGAAGGTGTAAATGTCATATTAACCCCCCCAAAAAATGGTCTCCTTAAAGTCAAGCTATTGGAAGTTCAACAAAGATAAGATAAAACTGTAGTGGGTAGCCATTCAAACCTTGATCTGGAAGTTCCAACCACCACTGAGGCTTCAGTAACTGTCACACCTACAAGGCAGGGCAGAAAGAGGACCCTGAAGACCCCAAATCCAGATGCGCTGTCTCTCTTGGTTCCTGGACCCTGGACGCTGGAGGTAGACTGAGCAAAGTTCTCCAGAGAACACCGCCAGACTGTGCCACACCTTTCCTAGACCCTGCAACCTACCTTATCCCTTCATTTGTAAGTTATACCACTAAATAAACCTCCCTTTTAACTATGTGGAGTGACCTTAATAATTTCACCAATATCTGGCACCCAAAGGAAGGTGTGGAAGTACGGGTGGCAAGGATCTTCAACACCTTCGGGCCACGAATGCACATGAATGATGGGTGGGTGGTCAGCAACTTCCTCCTACAAGCACTACAGGGGGAGCCGCTGACGGTATATGGATCCGGGTCTCAGACAAGGGCACTCCAGTATGTCAGTGATCTGGTGAATGGCCTGGTAATCATGAACAGCAATGTCAGCAACCCTGTCAACTTGGGGAACCCAGAAGAACACACAATCCTGGAATTAGCTCAGTTAATTAAAAACCTTGTTGGCAGTGGAAGTGAAATTCAGTTTCTCTCTGAAGCCCAGGATGACCCACAGAAAAGAAAGCCAGACATCAAAAGAGCAAAGCTGGTACTGGGGTGGGAACCTGTGGTCCCACTGGAGGAAGGGTTGAACAAAGCCATGCACAACTTCCGGAAGGAGCTAGAGTACCAGGCCAATAACCAGTACATCCCCAAACCTAAGCCCGGCTAGCTCAGTCGGTAGAGCATGAGACTCTTAATCTCAGGGTCGTGGGTTCGAGCCCCATATTGGGCACCAGATATTGGTGAAATTATTAAGGTCACTCCACATAGTTAAAAGGGAGGTTTATTTAGTGGCATAACTTACAAATGAAGGGATAAGATAGGTTGCAGGGTCTAGGAAAGGCGTGGTGCAGTCCGGCGGTGTTCTCTGGACAACTCTGCTCGGTCTACCTCCAGCGGCCAGGGCCCAGGAACCAAGAGAGACGGCGCATCTGGATTTGGGGTCTTCAGAGTCCTCTCTTGACCTCGCCTTGTAGGTGTGACAGTTACTGAAGCCTCAATGGGGGTTGGAACTTCCAGATCGAGGTCGGAATGGCTACCCACCACATAAAACAATGTGCGCTACGATATTAGTTACTGAGTTTAGGAATGGAAGGGAAGCAGACAGGGTAAAGACAGAGATTACTGTTAGATTAATTGAGGGGAAAACATCTGTAAGGGAATTCAGGGAAACTGCTGGGATGCAAGATTATGGCTACAATGTTAAAGAGGAGTGGGGAGATCAGTAAGGTGAGAAGAGATGGGAGCGAGGGGGCAAATGTATGGACAGTCTGTAGGAAGAAGTAGAGAGCACACAATAGTCATACAACCTGACCAAGCGGAATACAAACTAAAGTACATTACAAGACTTTTTTTTCCCCCTGAAAACGTGAAGATTAAAAAAAAAAAAAAGGAAACTTTAAGAATAGCAATAACAACAACAACAAAAGAGAAATTTGATTACATTACAAACAAACCATTAGGGCTTGTGAGAGGGCTCAGTGGGGAGGGGTGTTTGCTACTAAGCCTGGCAACCTGAGTTTGATTCTTGGGTCCCACTTGGTGGTGTAAGAGCCAAGGTTAACCTGCAAGTCCCACTTGCCCAAGGACAAGATAGCTTCCTGAAATGCTGGGAGCTGTAGTTCTTGGGAAATAACAAGCCACATGTTTTCACTCCCCTAAACAAGTTTGTTTGACCCATCTGCACCGGATGGACTTGATCACATGTGGGCAGGAGGTATGTAGGCATGAAATATGCCAGGATGCGTGCTTGCCCCTAATTGGACCTAGTGAGAAATGCAATGAATTGTGGGTTTTGTGTTTTAAAGCCCTGTATAACATGACTGGCAGTCATTGCCTGGGAACCCAGGGGTGGACCTGGTCAGAGTCCATCAACCTGGCCAGTATTGAATTAAAATTGCTTCAAATTTGACTCAAAATTGTGGGGCTGTTTTTTGGTGTGGTTTTTAGTTTTTTTTTTTTTTTTTTTTTTTTTTTTTTTTTTTTTTTTTTTTTTTTTTCGAGACAGGGTCAGGACTAACAGGAGAAGGAGGGAACAGACTCCGGACAACTGTCATTTGACTTCCACATATGTACATCCACACCCAATAAAAAACTAATTGAAA